AGTTAACAAGCAATTTCCGAAAGTGATTAGAAAAGGAAGTATGCAAACTCAGTGTCCTTTCAAAGGTGCCAACCGTGGGTTGAGCAAGATGGCTTTCCCTCATCTCCCAGTGCTCAAAACCCACTGGAGACTGCTATCTTGTGGTCTGCTCATGAGGAGCAGTTTTCTGGAGCCCTTGTGGATGATCTCAAGTCCTCTCCTTGTCCGACATTCTGCTGTAGTTGTCAGCTCCACTTTTAACAGAGCTATCTTCAGTTCGCCATTTCTTCCCCAAAAGTCCCTAGAAGTTCTCCACCTTCTATTTTTTCTTTTTCTTTTTTTCCTTTTTCTTCTTTTTTTTAGTTTGTATTAGTTTTTATTGATACAATTATAATTTTTAATAAAATTAGTATTTTAAAAAATCATTTTTTCCTCCAATCCCACTCTTGTCATTCCCCATTATTTTAGGCTAAGAAGCAAGGCCTGGACCAAACCTTCAACCTTGATTCGGTCGATGGGGTACCTCTAGCTGATGTTGAAGAATGGAGTGAGATTTCAGATGCTGAGCGTCTGAGAAGCAACCTACAAGCCTATTGGGCATTTCAGATTTTATTGGATCAAATCTTGGAAGAGCAGAGGACCGAGTTAACCCCAGCGGATGTAGCTTTCCATGAATCTATCCAATCAGTTATGCTGCAAGTTTCTGCTTTAGCTTACCAACTGGAAGAATTGATGGTAACACTGAAGCACAATGTGCCAGCCAAAGAAGTAAAAAGTACAAAGGACTGTGATGAAAAAGGTTTGTTTGAACGGAAGATAAGGGGCATGAAGGTGCTACAGGAACTTGCCCAATGGACTGTCAGGTCAGTCCGAGACCTACACCAAATCTCTAAATCTGTTCAGGCATCATCCATTGCACTTGAGAATTACTGCCTGGCTCAGCCCCAGGAAAAATGAGGCCTTGGATTCTTAAGCTTCTTTAAAACAGTGTCTCTCCCTCAGCTGTGGGATTTAGATTGAAGCAGTATTGCCAGCCTGAGCATGCTAAGAAGATTGGAATGAGTTCCCCCTCCCATTCATATTAGTCTGATTACTAAACCCATTCCTGAGTGGTAAAGAGTTTCTAGGGTATCAGTCCAAAATGGTCACTATAGGCTAATAGTGTTGTTGTGATATAAGGCTTATTTACAAATATATGTAGGCTGAGCACCAGAGGAGTGTTGATAATATTAACACTTCAGTGGATTCCTGTTTTCTGGGAGTTCTGCCAGGGAACTCTCTCTGCCTTTCTGTAGTTCCAGCCTAGACTAATTCCCTGCTTTGTACATACCATTCACTCATCTCATCCCCATGATTCTTCAGGGAGGAAAGAATTGTCTCTGCCCATCATCTTCCATTGCAAAATTATTACCAGTGCATTTCTGGTTGCCTTCTTCTTTGCTGAAAACTTAACCATGACTAGCACAGCACCTATGTTAGCTTTTTAGGGGCACTGCCTTAGGGCAGGGATTCTCAAAGTGTGGTCCAGAGACCATGGTCCGTGGAGGTTCCTGAGGTGGTCTGCTGCAGCCTCCCCATGCCACTCCGGCCCAGTGGTGTACCTATCATATTTGACACCCAGAGCGGATCATTTTTTAACACCTCCCTCCTCTGTTACCAAGAGCTAGTTTGGTGTAGGGGTTAAGGCACCAGGTTAGAAACCAGGAGACTATATGTTCTAGTCCTGTCTTAGGCATGAAGCCAGCTGAGTGACCTTGGCCAATCACTCTCTTGTAGCCCTAGGAAGAAGGTAATGGCAAACATTTCTGAAAATGTTGCCAAGAAAACTGCAAGGGGCACTTGCCAAAGTCAAAACTAAGGCACTTTTTTTTCTTTGATCACTACTGTACGGTGCCAACTGTCATAGAGCTGATTGGTATGCTGGAGCAGCAACCCAAATCCACACCTGCAGCTTGCCTCCTTGTCACTTTTGGCAGCACCCCCTTGTTGTCTGCGCCTGGGATGGATCACTCCCCCACCCCTTCCATGGTACAGCACTGCTTCAGCCATCCTTCTGCATGTTCCTCAATAATCAGGTGACCAGCTGACTCTGGTGAGTGTGGGGATGGGTGGAAAGCAGGTTCTGGCCAGCTTCTCACATGCCCTGACAATCCACATGCCAGAGTCAGCTCTGTACTCATCCCCTGCTTCAAGTAATAAAGGAATACTTGACTTTGGATTACATGTTTGGTACAGATTTGACTTTTAAAGGGCCTTACAGTAAAAATGCAGGGGATGGGAAGATATACAGAAATGCAATTATGATCATAATTTTATTTGCCAAAAAAGGAGAGCTTCCATGTTTTTAAAGACAAAAGCATAAGGAGAGAGTCTTTGTTTAACTCACCACATTTTCTCTAAATCATTTTTTCAGAAGGCCATGACTGCAGAAAGTTTGAGAAACATTGCCATAGGGCAACTACACTGAGGACCTGTTCAAAGAACCCTTTTTCTCTCTCAACAGTTACAGAGTTCAAGAATCCTGGTTCATTGGGTTTTGGTTTAGCATGTTGTGCAAATAAGCCATTGTAGTTTATAAGCCATTGTTCATGGTGGTATGTGAACCTACCAGTTCTGGGTTAGTCAATGAACCATGATCAAACAAGCTGTGATTTAGTAGAAAGGAATTAGATTCAGATTACCCATCTCTTAGTTTCATTACATAATTTCTTTTTCTGAAACTTTGAGGGCAAGTAAACAATAAAAAGTAAAGCAAAATCTTTTTCTTAAGATAGTAGAGTACAGATTAATGCAATCATTGAAACCAACATGGTCAAAGCACATAGTTACATTTCCTTTCTTCATTTAACTATCCTAAATCTATAACACAATACTGCCAAAGTTGGCATTTGGGAATGTTTATTTTGGCCTCTCCTTTCCATCCTCCTCAGCATAGGCCAAGATGCTCATATGCACACAAAACAAACAGACATATTTCTAAGGATGTTAAATCATTCTAAATGCCATCAGGATATTTCTTGAAAAATTGGTAAAAATTCTCATCATATTAGAATGCAAGAAATGTACCATTAAGAACAGTTCCAGTCTTTAGTGTGAAGAAATTTACCCAAGGAATCATTTCTGTAAGCATGTAGGCAGATTCCATTTCAGACAACTATAACAAAATAAATAGGATTCTATAGTATTTATAGTTCCACGTGCTTAAATCTGAAAAACAAATGGAAGTATGTAGTGTGGGACTGAGGACTGTCTTTTCAGTTGAGGCAGAAATCTCTACTGGGGGCCTTGGACAAATATAGACACAGAGTCTATTTAGCGCACAAAAGAAATTGGGAAAGGACTTCATCTCTCTCTCTCTCCAAAGTGAAGATTATGGAGATGGAGTTGTGCATGTAGTAGAAGGTATGGAAGGGATTGTGATAATCTCTCAGGATTTTGCACTAGACTAATTCAAGGGTTGCTTTTCAGAGTAAGAGTAAATAGAAATTAGTAACAATATTGATGAAGTGGAAGAACTGATGGACATTATTTTGTATGGTCAAAGTTAAACGATTTATTTTAAAATTAGGCTGATCTGTAATATAATATGCTTGTGGGTGTGTTTTTTTATACATAAAGCAAATAAGCAAAAAGAAATCCATAAGCAAAAGTATGTTGCTGTGGAGCTTTTCAGTTGTGTGAACACAATCAACTTGAATCTGAAGCATGTTGGTGACAGAAAGAGAGAGAAATAAAGAGAAAGGATAGAAGGAATGAGAGTAGGGGGACAGAGAGTAAGGCTACAGCAGTTTTTGCACTCTTACAGTACTCCCAGCCAACCATCTATTTCATTGCCCAAGTCTTCTGATTTCCAGATTAAAATGAAGAAGCAGGGCTTGGTCTGTATTGACTTTACAGGACCATAATGGTTATTTTAGGACACAGTGGGCATGTTTATGTCATGACAAGTCTGCAGCACTGGCACCAAATTGATGGACAAACAAGAAGGTGTCCTTCCTGGCACGGAAATGAGGATCAAGATGACTCAGCTAATCAGCGTTAATTTGCTGGCCAGCGAGAAGTGCATTGTCTGTGCCCTCAATGTTGCTCTGGAAAAAAAACTTCCTTTCTGTAAAAAAGTGTAAAAAAAAGAAAAAGGAGTATTTCATCTGCTCGTGCTGGTGGAAAGCTCTTTATGCTGCCCTCTTCAGCCACTTTACTTATTTTTGATGTGCATCACCATGTTGGGAGACTAGACATTGGGAAGGCGGGCATCCCCTCCAACAGCTGCCTGGAATACCTGATACCACAACACTCAGCAACACTGGAAACAGGAGCTCCCTCTTCGACAAACCTGTCAGATTACAGCAGGAAGGTTCCAGGATGTAGACAATAGTAAGACCCTGGAATGCATAGAATGACTGCTGGAGGGAGGAGCAACTACTTTCTCCATGATGGTGATGGCGGCTGCACCCCCATTTGGAAGAGCCTTTAGTTTTCTGGGGAGTATAATTCCCTTAAATTCTGTGAGTTGTTTACTACTGTGAATAATGATTATGAAGGAAAGCCAAGTTGCACAGAAAATCACCCTCTGAATATTTGTCCTTATCACAAATACTGATTTACCTAAATTTATTTTCACTTCATTGTAATGAAGATGAATATCCACATTCAGTACAATGGAATAGACATTGTACAAAATTTGGCAGACATAGAAAATGACTCCTTGCTTTTTTTTTTTTTTTTCCGGAAGGGGGGGGTAGGGGGGGGGGAGGAAAAAATTCTATTTATTTTTCCATAAAAGCTATGGTCATCTAAGCGATGGAACTCTTAATGAATATCCACATTCAGTACAATGGAATAGACATTGTACAAAATTTGGCAGACATAGAAAATGACTCCTTGCTTTTTTTTTTTTTTTTCCGGAAGTGTGGGATAGGGGAGGAGGAGTAAACAATTCTATCTATTTTTCCATAAAAGCTATGGTCATCTAAGCGATGGAACTCTTAGGGGCGGGGGTCATTATTTCCCATTACAATTTATACTATAGATTCTTTCATTGGGTTGAATCCAGATTTGCTCTTCAGTTAATGAAAAGCTCTTTATTCTGCTGAGGCTCCCACTAAAAAAATAAGGAGAAAGTAAGTTTTCTTTAGTTCCTCCTTTTGCAGTCTACCAAGCTGCCTCCCATGTGGTTTTGGAGAACATAGGGAGGGAGGTGGATAAGGACCTGGTGACAATCATGACTCCCTGTTCTGTTGGTAGGAGTACCCAGTGTCAGAATTCTTCTCTGGGCAGCTCTAGAACCTGTCCATTGAAGAAATATGAGAAATAATCACGAGGCCGTTTCTTTTCCCATCATAGTGACTGCCTTACCTCTATACGATTTCTAACTTGAATGTTTTATTTATCCTCTTTTAAAACAATGTGAAGTGTTTCTTTTAGCATGTTTGTACAGTTACTGAAATTTAATCATTATGAGGGATTCCTTATTTTTGTATTGTGAGCTAAATTTCTGATGGAAGAAAATGTCTAATAAATGTTAAATGTGATTTCTTTGATTAATGGAAATAATACTGATAGACTTCACTTGTAACATACAAGTATAACTAGTTAGATTGATTGGTTAAAATTAATTTACTAAAGAGGATATCTTATAATTAATCAAGTAGCAGATTATTTTAAGTTAATTAGTAATACACAGCTATATCAATAACTGCCTGTGGAACAAATTCCTTCTCTCTCTTCAGGTCTCATTGCTCCACACAAATTTGCAGTGACTCAAAGGAAGAGGAGAGGCTGGAGAACATCCCTCACACAAAAAAAAGTCAATTAATGTTTGGATACTGCTGAATGCATTACTTTTCATCCAAGTATTCTAACAATTGTGGAAAGCAAATGCCACCTTAGAAGAGGCATTTCCCTTTTACTTGTACTGGAAGAAATGCCTCTTCTTGGACTTTGCTGGCTATGGCACATTTGTGTATCACTTAATGACTACCAATGGGTTGTTTTGTTTTCTCTCAGAGTGATTGTTTTATTCATGTG